GGTGGTGATGATGATGAGAATGAGGATAATGAGGATGGTGATGATGATGAGAATGAGGATAATGAGGATGGTGATGATGATGAGAATGAGGATGGTGATGATGATGAGAATAAGAATGGTGATGAGAATGAGGATGGTGATGATGATGAGAATGAGGTGGTGAATGTGAGGAGGGAGAGAGTGCGGATGGTGATGAGGATATAGGTGGTGATGATAATTTAGGTTAAATGAGGTTTGGGTGATGATGGCGGTGATAATTCCTATACTCCTTGATGTGGATAGAAAAACACATGGGGCCATATTGTAGGCTTTAATAGACATAAAACAAAACGTAGGACACTGCAAAGATGAAAGAACTCTTAAACTATACACTAAAGAAACTAAAGGAATCAGACCTTTATCAGTGAAAAACACTCCCGCCGAAAACTAGTAATAAACCTGAAGTTGCCTAATAAGAGACACGTTGAGAGGCAGGCATGCTCGTCTGGCCGTGGAGTGCGAGCAGCGGTCAAGGAGCGAGGGAGCACTCACGTCGCGGCCCACAGCTCGCCGAGAAGACCTGAAACGATCCAGTACATTCACTTTGCTAACAGTGATAGTTCATATTTATTACCACACTCCTTACAATTGCTATCATTACTAAATTCTTGTAATATTCTCAACAATAACGGAAGTCAAATTGCCATTCTCTCTGAACAAAAAAATACACACAATATGAATTCAATCCCTCTACCCCTCCCCCCAAAAAAAAAAAATCAAATTCTCCAATCTCTCTCCGTCAAAAAAAAAAAAAAAAAAATCTAAATTTCCGATCTCTCCCTAAAAAAAAATCTCTCCCTCTCCCCAACAAAAAAAAATCAAAGTTCTCTCTATCTCAAATAAATAAATAAATAAAAATAAATGAATAAAACAAAATCAACAAATCACTCAAATCTTCCAATCTTCCTCACCAGGTCACCTGGATGCACTGGACCGGTGATGTTCTGACGTGGACGACCGACCATCACCCTCATCCAAGATTTGTGTCACGCGCGAGGACGAGAACACCTGGACGCTCCACATCCGCCAGGTCACCCCGGCCGACACGGGCTACTACGTGTGTCAGGTCAACATGGAACCCACGATCAACCAGGTCGGCTACGTGCAGGTCGTTGGTAAGTGCTGGAGAGAGGAGAGGGTGTGTAGAAAGGGGGGGGGGGGTCGGTAAATTGGGGTAGGGTACATTGGGTGTTAGGGGGGGGGGGCAGTGGCTTGGAGGGTATTTGCGTAAAATGGCTGGGGGGGGGGGGAGGTTTTTGGGTAAATTAGGGTAAAATAAATGATTTGAGCGATGGGAAGTACTGTATTTAGGTAAATTGGGGTGGGTTTGGGTAAATTTAGGACCGTGGGTGATGGGTAAATTTTGTAGGTTAGAGTGCTTATGGAAAATTAGTACTTTTACAGATGGGAAGGTTTTGGATAAATTGGTGGGTAACATTAGTACTTTGAGTGATGGAGGTATTTGGCTGAAATGGGTTAGGTTGGGGAAATTAGTAGGCTGATTATGGAAAGTATTTAGGTAAATTAGGTAAGCTATGTAAAGTGAGTTTACTGAGAGATACAGGAGATTGAGTAACAGTAACAGTAACAGGGTAGGTTGAGTAACAGGATATATTTGGGAAAGTTGGGCTGGTTGGGTGAAAGGAAGAGGAGGTCAAGGGAAATGAGAAGTCGGGGAGAGTATTACCTACCTGATTGCATAATGACGGTGATAATGACAATAATAATAATGGAAATAATAACAATAATCTCCATGATGTCTATACACTCAGTGCTAATAATATCAATCATAATGAATATGGATTAAAAGAAAAAAAAATAGATTCAACAACTATTTCAATTTCTAAAATCTATTAACAATAACATTAATGAAAATGAGAATAGATTCGTGCCGCCAGTCTGGATCAATAAGGTTTGTGTTGCATGATGTGGAAGTCAGTGTCTGCTTTTACGTTTATAACTTAAATTAATCTGTTTTTTACTGAAGAAATTGGCTTGTTAAGAATTAATTTTAGAAAAAAATACATTCTTGTCATTATAATCTTGTTAAGAACCTTTTAAAGAAAATTACATTCAATCTTTTTTATGTTTATTTTTTTTCTCTCTTTTTTTCAATCTTTCTCTCTCTCTCTTTCTCTCTCTCTCTCGTATAACTTCGTATAATGTATGCTATACGAAGTTATTACGCACCCATACCCACCCTTCCCCACCCACCCCTACCCACCCTTACCCCCCCACCCCTACCCACCCTAACTCCCCTACCCACGCCCTCCCCCCACACTCACCTCCCCCGCCTTCCAGTCCCGCCCGAATTCATCGACGAGGAGAGCAGTCGTATAACTTCGTATAATGTATGCTATACGAAGTTATTACGCACCCATACCCACCCTTCCCCACCCACCCCTACCCACCCTTACCCCCCCACCCCTACCCACCCTAACTCCCCTACCCACGCCCTCCCCCCACACTCACCTCCCCCGCCTTCCAGTCCCGCCCGAATTCATCGACGAGGAGAGCAGTCGTATAACTTCGTATAATGTATGCTATACGAAGTTATTACGCACCCATACCCACCCTTCCCCACCCACCCCTACCCACCCTTACCCCCCCACCCCTACCCACCCTAACTCCCCTACCCACGCCCTCCCCCCACACTCACCTCCCCCGCCTTCCAGTCCCGCCCGAATTCATCGACGAGGAGAGCAGTCGTATAACTTCGTATAATGTATGCTATACGAAGTTATTACGCACCCATACCCACCCTTCCCCACCCACCCCTACCCACCCTTACCCCCCCACCCCTACCCACCCTAACTCCCCTACCCACGCCCTCCCCCCACACTCACCTCCCCCGCCTTCCAGTCCCGCCCGAATTCATCGACGAGGAGAGCAGTCGTATAACTTCGTATAATGTATGCTATACGAAGTTATTACGCACCCATACCCACCCTTCCCCACCCACCCCTACCCACCCTTACCCCCCCACCCCTACCCACCCTAACTCCCCTACCCACGCCCTCCCCCCACACTCACCTCCCCCGCCTTCCAGTCCCGCCCGAATTCATCGACGAGGAGAGCAGCGCCTCCCACGTGGCGGTGCAGGAGGGCAACGACGTGCGCCTCGTGTGCAGGGCCAAGGGCGTTCCGAGGCCGAGCATACACTGGACGCGCGAAGACGGGAAGACCTTCACCACCGTGCGAGGGAATCAAGGTGAGAGAGGGGTCGTGAAGATAAAGGGGAGAGAGAGAGCGAGAGAGAGAGAGAGAGAGGGGTGGTGATGATGAGGGAGAGATAGGGATCGTGAGGATAAATGGGAAGTGAGAGAGAGAGAGAGAGGGAGAGAGGGAGAGAGAGAGAGAGAGTGGGGATGATGAGGGAGAGATAGGGATCGTGAGGATAAATGGGAAATGAGAGAGAGAGAGAGGGAGAGAGGGAGAGAGAGAGAGAGAGGGAGAGAGAGAGAGTGGTGATGATGAGGGAGAGATAGGGGTCGTGAGGATAAATGGGAAATGAGAGAGAGAGAGAGAGGGAGAGAGAGAGAGAGAGTGGGGATGATGAGGGAGAGATAGGGGTCGTGAGGATAAATGGGAAATGAGAGAGAGAGAGAGGGAGGGAGAGAGAGAGAGAGAGAGAGAGGGTGGTGATGATGAGAAAGAGATAGGGGTCTTGAGGATAAATGGTATGAGAGAAAGAGGGTGGTGATGATAAGGAAGGGAGAGCGATTGTGAGGATAAATGAGAGAGAGAGGGTGATGATGCTGAGGAAGGGATACGAATGATAAGGATAAATGGAAAGAGATAGAGAGTGATGATGATAAGAAGCAAGGGATCGTGAAGATAAATGATGAGCTGAAGAGGATGAGGATAATAAGGAAGAGGTAAGGATAGTGAGAAAAAAAGATGATAATGATAATCAGAGATGGATAAAGATAACGAGAAGGGATGATAATGATAATAAAGGGATAATCATGATAATTAGAAAGGGATAAGCGTGATAGGAACGGATAATAAGGATGATAAAAAAAATTACGCCAAGAAAGGGATGAAAAGGATTTAAAAAAATGATAATATATCCAATGAGAAAGGAATGATACAGATAATAACACAAAGATAATTAAGATAAGCTTAGAGATCATGATAGTAATAAGCCAAGGATCCTGACGATAAGCAAGACAGGGCGGTGTGTTCATTACGGTATATCATCGTGCGTAGAAGTAGCTTTATAAGTACTGTAAGTAGTTTATGAATAGTTTATAAGTGGATGTACCGACTGGTGATTCCGAGGATGGTATTAGTTCGGAGTGGTTGCAGTAATTTGTGAATTGTACGGTAATGTTAAGACAAGTAATTGGCTGCTGAGAAGTGAGCTGTGAGATGAGAGGTTGATTGTTGGAAACTGATGACAATATTGAGGCTGAAGATTTGTAAAAGGTGGTGTTGTCAGGTGTGTTTCTTATTTATATCCAGGGTGTTTGTGTGTGTGTTTAAGGGTGAATGTGTATTAGTGTGTGTGTGTGTGTGTGTGTATGTGTTTGTGTGTGTATGTGTTTGTGTGTGTATGTGTGTGCTTAAGGGTGAATGTGTGTTAATGTGTGTATGTGTGTGTGTATGTGTTTGTGTGTGTATGTGTGTGTGTATGTGTTTGTGTGTGTATGTGTGTGTGTATTTGTGTGTGTGTGTATGTGTATGTGTGTGTGTGTGTGTGTGTGTTTAAGGGAGATTATGTGTTAACGTGTATGTGTGTGTGTGTATGTAAGGGTGACTGTCTGTTAGTGTGTGTGTGTGTGTGTGTTTAATTTGCACACAAAAATCAGTTCATGTGTGTCTCCGCTTGTGCTTATTGCATTTCGTTGTTGAAGAGATTGTTTCACTGTGTATGTCTATGCGTGTTTGTGTTTAGTTCTGTATAGGTGTTGTGTTTGTTGCCTTTCTATGTATGTATGTTCATGTTTTTGAGTGTTTGTGATTGCGCGTTTGTTTGTTTGTATCGTCTGTGTCTGCTTATGAGCGTACCTGAACACACGTCCGAGTGCGTGGGTTATTTAAATCTAATTTTGAAATCTAAATTGAGTCGGTGGAAAAAATAGTCTCAGTTAATAAGGTTTCGTGTTTGCTGATTAAATTTCTGCTTTTTCTCAACTCTTTGAAATCGCTGTTCAACAAAGAACTGGGTGCTGGTTTTAGATACTGTACAAGTGAGATCATCGTCTGCGGTGCCTTCACGGGAGCTTGATACTGAAATATGGGTTGCGTGACCGTAGAGTTTAACAGACAATCGTCCCTGACATATAAAAACGATCGCAGCCGTTTATAATTAAATGAGGGTAATGATAATTACGACGATAATGAAAATCAGGATAACAGTAATAGTATTGATAGCAATAACTGTAATAGTTATGCTAAGGATAATAGCAATAATGATAACGGTATTGGTATTAATAATAATGATATTCCTAATAATGATAATTATGATGATAATAATAATGATGAAAATGTTAATGATTACAATAATATTAATGATAATAATGATAACTATAATAACAGCAATAGCAGTGATAATAGAGATAACTTGTTGTAATCGCTAGCAATAGTATTTGTATGTCAATGATAACAGCTACACCAATTAGGAGTGGAAAAAAACAGGTCATAAAAGAACAAGAAATATCCCAATACCATTAATAAGGATGTTAACAATCACAATAATTAATACAACAGCAACAAAAAAAACTAAACTAACGACAACTAGCCCACCACCCCCCTCCCAAAAAAACGCAACATGACAAACAAAAAAACACACAACTAGCCCCCCCCCCCTAAAATAAAATCTTGCTTTTCTTTGCAGTGGAGATTTTAAAACAAAAGTAAAAATAAAAACAAATAACTCACTCACTCCTGCTTCTTCTCTTTGCAATGAAAGAAAGAAAAAAGTAAAAACAAAAAACAAAAACCTTACCCACTCGTTTCTTCTCTTTACAATGAAAGGAAAAACAAAAACAAAAAAAAACTCACCCACTCCTGTTTCTTCTCTTTGCAATGAAAGAAAGAAAAAAAGAAAAACAAAAACTAAAAAACTCATCCAATCTTGCTTCTTCTCTTTGCAATGAAAAAAGAAAAAAAAAAAAAAAAAACTCACCCACTCGTTTCTTCTCTTTGCAATGAAAGAAAAATATAAAACCAAAACAAAAAACTCACCCCCTCCTGCTTCTTTTCTTTGCAATGAAGAAAAAAACAACAAAGAAAAAAAAAACTCACCCACACGTTTCTTCTCTCTGCAATGAAAGAAAGAAAAAAAATAAAAACAAAACAAAAAACTCACCCCCTCTTTTTCCTTTCCCTTTGCAGTGAAGAGAATCGAGAGCGAGGAACTTGTCTTGAACGGAGTCACAAGGAAAGACATGGGAGCCTACCTGTGCATCGCCTCCAACAAGGTCCCTCCGTCGATAAGCAAACGCATAGTTTTGGAAATACACTGTAAGTTTTTTTTCTTTTTTTTTGTGAGGATGGTGATGGTGGTGATTGATGGTGACTGATGGTGGTGGTGATAAAGGAGGATTTTGTGTGTTTTTTTATGGAATATCGTGTTATTTGCATTACATAGATATAAAGATAGATGGATAGAGGGATGAATAGGTAGATGGATAGAGGGATAGATAGGTAGATGGATAGATAGAGGGATAGATAGATAAATGGATAGATAGATGGATATATAGGTAGATGGATAGATCAATAAATGGATAGATAGAAAGAGGTATAGATAGGTAGATGGATAGATAGATAGGTAGATAGATAGACAGATAGAGGGATAGATAGATAGATAAAAAAGATAGACAGATTAGATAGATAGATTAATTGATGGATAAATAAACAGATAGATAAATAGATAGATGTTTTTTCACCATGTTATTCCATTGGTGTTTTTGTTCGTTTTTTTTTATTACTATCATATAGTTATGTCAATAGTGAGGTTAAGCTCATTTAGTAAAGGTATTAGGATATTTAGAATGATGATATTGTTGTGAGGTAATAGCCAGGAGGTTATTGTGTTTTCAGTAATTTCATGAAATCGGTGTTGGGGTTATTAGTCGTCGTAAAGATAAGATTAATTGGTGATGATTGAATAGTATTGATAGTATTGATGATATTGATAATGAAGATGATGATGATGATGATGGTAATGATTATCCGATAATGATAATGATAGTAATAATACTAATGATAATGAGGATGATAATGGTGATAGTAATGGTAATGAGGAGAAGGGATAGGACGATGATGATAATGATAAGAATTATAGCATTGAAAATGGTGACTATGATAATCATAATCATAAAAATAAGAATGAGAATACTACCGAGAATAATAATAAAAAAAAACATCAACCAAATCGAAACAAAAACACAGTAACCATAACCCCCTTTTCATTCCCTCCCTCCCCCATCAAACCCCCCAACCCCCTCTCCC